CGTATGATGTAGGCTAGTTATATTACAATTTCACACGAGCAAGACTGCCGTTTTCCCCAAATATCAGTTTATGCAACAGCTCAATAAACTTAACATTGTGAGTTACAGTTTTGACACAATATTGTTTTTCCTTTATTTCGTCAACGAAAATGTTTAAATGAAACCACAGCAGAACCGAGTCTCCATGCCACAGACAGTGATGATTTTGTACTGACTGTATCTACGTTTTGAACTAATCAGATTTGTTCCTGAATGAATCAGCCGTTTTAAAGTGCCCCTATTATGCTATTTTAAAGTTTCCTATGTTGTTTTGGAGTCTCCTACTCCTACAACAGGTGTACATGCATCAAAGGTCAAAAAACTGTTTAATTTCCTCATCATATACATTTGCACATCACCACATTTTCAATGATTCTCATACGATTCTCAAACGATCAATATCTCTAAATCCCTCCTTCAAGCGAGCTACTCTGCTCTGATTGGCAATGCGAGCGCGAGTCCGAAGTTGAAACATTTTAGGAACTATTCATTAAACCCGAACCTCCATTGCAAGGACGACTCGAGCAGGACGTTTCTCAGTGATACCCTAGTAGGCAACCCTACTCAGGTTGAGGTACATTATGAGATGTTGCAGCTGTAATTCCATCAGCATTAACAAGTGCATTTCCATCAACAAACCGATTATTTTACTTGTACTTATTTATTTACAGAGTATTTTCCTAATATATTGCGGTGAACACATGTATGCAATGTATACATTAGCCGAGCTCTAGCGTGAATGTAACATAAACGTTGATAAAACAAATCTTGCTCCATGCTTAATCTTTCCTCAAAGTAGTGAGAACGACAGACAATCTGCATTAATAGACACAGTTTTAGGTAATAGTGGCCCACAGCTGATCAGCAGAAGTATTTCAGTAAGACAGTGATAAAGTGAGTTAGCCATTTAGCAGGAGACCAACACAATATAAAACTCAAAACTAAGTATTTTGAACACCATCTTTCAAGAGCAATCTTCATATCCAGTCTTCTGGACATGATGCTATCTAGTATCCACAGGAATCAGCTGCAGGTTTGAGGTTCAAGGTTTCCCTGGTGTCTGCGGGCGAAATAAGTGGGCGGGCAATTGTAAGGCCTAATGGAGGCGGGTGAAGGTCTTTACGTGTTACTGTCTTTTCTCGTGGCAAAGTATTTTTGATTAAATGCATTACATTTTCTCATATTTATTCTCTCGTTATTTCATCTGACTCCATAAATGAAAAGGTTTTTTAATGATATCTGTGCATCATTAAATATAAGCGAAAGTTTGACTATTCCTTTTAACTCTAATGAAAAAAATGTCAAAGTCAGTTAGAATAACCAAATGTAACAATTTATTATGTCAGGTAAATTTATCATTCCAATTTCATAATCAGTTCAAAGATAATCAATACAAAACATCAAATGCTCTGGAATAAAGAAAAGAAATGCGAACCCGACATTTTAGAAATAGATGAAGCTGAGAGTCTCGGCCGCTCTCAGTCTCACGGGCTGATCGGAGATACAGAAAGGCCACGAGCCCCTTGCTGCATTTCATTATATAGGCTAACAATGGATATTTGCATTCAGAAGTTACACCTTTTGGGCGTAGGAGACCGTTTGTCTAGAGACCACATTCCTTTGTGTGCCAGTTATCCCTAAACTCTTAAAAACCTTATTACCTTTTGTTTTACTTATTTGGAAATGAGACATTTATACCAGTCGCATTGAGACATTTCGAATGATATTAAACATGTATAATACTCGATGATAATCATTGACATTAAACCATTTAGATTCTTGGGTGAGTTTTTGGTGATCTTCGCATGGGGGATGAGGGGGAGAAATGTAGATTAGGATGAGCGAGGTGAGACCTTCGTCTCAATAGTGCATGAGGGGGAGTTCAAATGTTAATTTTCAGCCTCAACCAGTTCTTCCAGTTTTTCCAGTCGTACACTAATGTTTCGTCTTGACGTCACGACGAAACGGCTTATGACTCGTTTGAAAAACGAATCATTTCATTGACTCAGAGTCGACTCTTACTTTTGAAAGACAATAACTTTATATATGGTCCACTTTCAGATTTAAAACTTTGCTGGATGTTTTCATTCACTTATACTAGAGCTATGTTACACACAACAAATCGGTTGAATGAATGATTCATTACTGGCTGTTTTAGTTTCATATTTAAAGTACCATTTAATTAAAATTAAAATTAGAAATCATTTAATATTTAAATATTGAATAAAAAAAAATCTCATAGCATTATTTATGCAATTGAAAATGTATTAATGCCACTTCTGATGCCGCTTCTGTATCACCTCTGCACTGCATAGATGGATTTTGTTAATAAGGATTTAATTTGATTGGGAATACTGTTATTCCAATTTAATATAATTTGAAAGTTAGAATTTGACATAAGTCAATGCGATACATCTAATAAGTTTAGAAAGAAATGCCCTTATATAAGGTAAAAAATGCCCCTGAAAATCAGTTTAATTAACTTAACCTAAGTCAGCCATGGTACCAGCACAAAAACACACTCAGCAAAATATTGAATTATTGTTATCAAGAAACCCAGCTTTAGTGTCTTGATTGTGCTTGATACAAAATAAAAGGTGCTTGAAAAAGTCCTTAAGTCCTTGAATCTGGTGTTCATGAAAGAGTGGGAACCCTGTAAATAGTGTTGAAAGCCAAAATATTAAATATATGGATGTATATTGACTGTAATCCACTATTTTGTTGATAGGGGTTAAAATGACCATTTTCACCTGAGATTTGGAGTCAGATTACAGGGGGTAAAATGACTTTAGAAAGATGGCGTCATCATTATTATTATTTTACACAGAGATTGGTAGATCTAGTTAAATATGTTCAAGCTTTGTTACATTATATGCCAATCTTGACAGTTTAAATATGGGAAAAAGCTCTTGTGTTTTTTGCCCCAAGTTTGCATGCCTGTAACTCAAGAATTTTTAAAGATTTCTCAATATCCTTTTATATTTTGGTGTTTAAAAAACATTTGGTATCTTCATTTCAAAGGCCCCATTTGGCACAATCCCAGAGATGTGGAGATCTAAATGCGGCTCCATGAGTAAATTGGTTAATTGTGCACATTTTTAGTAAATCAAATGTGAGTCACTTTGCACACAGCTGATACTTTTATTTTTATTTTAAAGAGGAATATCTGAACAACCAATAATGTTGAAACTAGAAATGTATCTCATTTCTATCAACACAATTGCATGGAATATACCTGTCTGAGTGCCAAAAATCCACTGAAATGGTGGAAAGTTGAGGCACATTAACTTGCTCTCCAAAGTGTATTTTTGAGAATCTATATTTGAATCAGTTTCAGGGATATTTGGAAGATGGGATTTTGTTCATTTTAACAGCTTCTGAAACTACCAAGAGTTCAAATATGCCGTATTGTGTAACTACATGTTACCACATTGACATTCCAATATATCTGGAATTGAACCATATATGGCCTTAAAAATGAAGATTCCATTGCTTCGGAAAAAGTATTTTCATGGCACTCTAGACAGGTATGTTCTATGTAATTATGTTGAAACGAGATGCATTTCTAGTTTCAACATTATTTGTTGTTCAGATAATCCTCTTTAAAGGGAAAAAGTATCTAGCCTGGTAATACCAGACTCTGCTACTTCACTTTGCTTCGTAGACAGAGTCTGGAATGGCATAATAGAGAAATGTTTTCTCTCTCGCTAGGGGGCGCTTGTCTGAAGTTTAAAATCATTGGTTACCCGTAAGCCAATCAGATAAGTTTATATATGACGTATGTTATGCGCCGACACAGCCGCATCGAACCACAGACATCATGCATCAAACTCAAATCTATGATCGAACTTCCACTGTAAACCTGGTGTAAACACTTGATGATGCGAGCGAAATACCGGAGTGAACATGGCTGTAAACGACTTTTGCAGATTATGCGAAGTTAATCTACGCATCCACGGTACAATCAGGGCCTCTAAACTGATATTTGACAGTAGAGAGAAACAAAAAAATATTTGCAGCCAACTGTCAAAGTTAGGATTAGTTCTGTTAAACACAGCTCTTTGTTCATCTCGAGTCTGTCGGAAATGCTGCAACTTAATTGCAAGATTACAGAATTTCATGGCAATATTTAAGACCTGGAAAAGAAAGGAGACACTGACCTGTCAAAAGGCTCCCCAGTTTCTCGCTGACGATCGGTAATAGTTGATAAATTAAACTTTTCCCAAAGGGAGTAGGGCCACAACATCACCTCCATTCAAAATGTTTAATACACACTCTTCTTGTTCAGGCTTCAGTTTGCTAATGCCGGGAATATTCTCCACAACAGAGCGAATTGCATCCGCGTCTCCATATCTGCGGTCGTTTACGATTTCCCTGACCTAATCTTAAACTCGGCGCTTAGCGACTACGTCACGGCTTTCAGCCCGCCCTCTGTTCGTTGATTGGCCCGGCTGTTTTCAGGCCGGAGGAAAACGGATAGATAGGCCGCTGTCTCAGACTGGGTACAGAAGCGAAATGAAATTGAGCGGAAGTACTAAGTCTGACGTAGTCTGGCTAAAAAGTATCAGCTGTATGCAAAGAAATCCACATTTGGTTTTCAACCACTGAAAATTGACCAATTTTATCATGGAACCACATTGCGATCCCCATATCTCTGGGATTGAACCAGATAGGGCCTTTAAAATGAAAAAAAACAACAGAAAAGTTTGACAAGAACCAGAAGGATATTAAAGATATATGTAATACTTCTTGAGTTACAGGCATGCAAACTTCTGAAAAAACACAAGAAGTGCCTTTTCCCATTTTTTTAAAATTGTCACTGTTGGCATATAATATCGCAAAGATTGCTAAAGTAAACAGATTTTACAAATAGATCTACCAATCTCTGTGTTAAAAATAAAATGATGATGCTGCCATTTTTCTAAAGTCATCATTTTAAAGGTGAAAATTGTCATTGTGACCCCCTATACAAAACAGTGAATTACTCAGTAAATATTCATGAAATTTATTATTTTGGCTTTCTTCATCATTTATGTACGGTATTCCTTTCAACAGAAAAAAAATATCAAAATCAAACATTTTAGCCGAGGACCTCTGGTTAAGTTGACACAGAATGACCCTATAAGCAAAACTGACCCCTGCATCATCGTCTTCTGAAAAAGCAGATGTCAGTCATATTCATGGCTCATTATTCTAGAATATTTCGTTTAATAAAATTTTGGATATGTTAAGTGAAAAAAAAGTTGTAAAGTATATTATATGCAGGTATGTTAACAGTTATTTGGAATAAATTAAAACTTATCATACAGTAGCAATTGCTAAAGTGCATATAGGACCATATTATGCACTATAATAATGCTTGTCAGTCTTTTCTGAAAACAAAAATGTTTATTTAATTTCAGAAATATGCCTCCATCTTTTAAAGGACAGCATGGCTCGGTTAAGTATGTGTTAATGGTAAAGCTGAAGAGGTCTTGGAAAACAACATCTACTACATGTACGGAAATATCCTTTTTGCCCAGGAATGATGGGACCAATGATCATTTACTGGTATGAATTATAATACCATGTTTGACTCTTTGGCGTTCATCTTTTAATAAATACAGAGATTATGTAACTGCTTATACTGTTATCAGAACTCATGTAATGCGATTTAAACCATTTGCTTGTGACCTAGAGCTTATAGAAAATGTAATGTAATTTTAGTTGACTTATTTCAATGTTGTTTTTTGTTTTTGTATACACATATATTTACAGCAACCACAATCTGGCACAGAAGACAAGAAGATGAAACTTTTTGGCTCAGGAAAAATGTCAATGACAGTAACAGCTGACAAAACTGGCTATATGCAAGGTGATAACCTGTGTATCTCTTAAGCAACTCAGTCAAAGCTGCATAAACTGAAGACACTAGCCTGTAATGCCAATGGCCGGGTTTCCATCAACATATTTTAATGCATATTGCATAAAATATTGCATAAAAATCCTGGAATTTTAACAACAACATGCAAATAACTTTCATTTCTATTGATATTTATCTCCAATTTCTCTGAATGTGACTACTTTGTTCTCCTAAACAAACTAAATGAAAACACTGCTTTATCTGTAAATAGGTTTTACATAAATAAAATTTGCTTCTTGGATGGGAAACCCTGCCATAGTCATTTTGTATTTGTTTTCCATTTTTGATAAATGTTGTCTCTAATTCCTTACATTGCTGCAGGTGAAACAATCAGAGTTTCTGTTGATATTGACAACTCTTCATCTCGTGACGTCAAGCTAAAGTACAGCCTCAAGCAGAAACAGACCTTCATTGCTGGCAGGAGCACTAATAACGCACTAAAGTATATAGTCAAAGAAACTAAAGATCACATCCCATCTGGAGAAAAGACTAAATCTGCAGTGGACATAAACCTTCCATGTGACCTGACTGTCACCATTGAAAACTGCAGAATTATAAAAGTGCAGTACGATCTCAAGGTGCTATTTTATTTTCCTTAGTATTGCTATATTTAAATATAGATTTAAATATTGAAATGAACTTAAAAAATTTAACTGTGACAGTTCACCTCCAAATTAGAATTTACTCACCCTCATGTCATTTTAAACCTGTACAACTTTCTTTCCTTTTTTGGAACACTGAATATTCTTCGAATTTCAGAATATCTTATTTTGTATTCTGCAGAAGAAATAAAGTCATAAAGGTTTGAAACAACATAATGGTGAGTAAATAAAATCATTTAAAGAATAGCAGTAACTATTCCTTTAATTGTCACAAATTTCTCAAATGCTTTCTAATTTGTGTGGTAAAAGAGACTATAACAACATTGATTTTACAGCATATACAAGACTTTCTTACAAAGAGTAAAGCAAAAATAAATAATTTGTTTTCTCTCCTTTGTAACTTCAACATAGTTTCACAGTTCGCTTGAACTATTATGTACACGGTTGTCTTTCAGGTCTATCTGGATGTGTCTTTTGCCTCAGATCCAGAAGTTATGTTCCCTGTGGTTATTCTTCCAGCTGACCAACAATGTCCTCCCTGGCAAGGCCCACCTGGGGGATTCCAGCCATATCCGCCACCTCAGCCTAACCTTGTGCCCTATCCTGGTGGACCGCCGCCTTCATATGCAGAAGTGTACCCCAATCTGAATGACCCTTCAGTGCTGCCCTATCCAGGAGCTGCTGCAGGGCTTTACCCAAATCCAAATGCCATGCTGCCTGTTTTCTATCCGACTCCATCTGCACCAGTTTATGATCCAAATCAAAGCACTAAAGAATCCTCTCCTAATGTGCCTTATTAGTCTTGTTCACCAGAAAAACTTCTGACTACCACTTCTGATGTCAATTATAACTTCATGGTTTTATCTGCATGAATTCAAGCTTGGTGCCTATTATTGTGCCTCTTTAAACTTAGGACTGTTCTTAATGTTACAAGGAATGTACAGTATCCACTGCAGTTTTTGAGATAGTTCACTGTTCAGTTCCCCCTTTTCCCATGTGCTCCAAAAACGCAGGTCTAAAAACTTCACTATCCTTTATTGCAGTACAAAAACATTTTAAAAAATGTCTCTGACCACTGTTCCTACTTATAGCAAGGCAGACAGAGTGGGCCGCTAATGCTGAAAATGTCCACATGCTCTGTCATCCCATTACTCCTCTTTTTTTTATGCTTTATTTCCGACAAATAGCATGTACAAGGTGTAGGGCTGAGCAAATATGGGCAGAAGTCTTTACTGCCCTAAAAGCCTTTTGAAAGGTATACATGTGAATTAAACGTGGCACAATGGCCTTCATCATCACAGTATGTTAATGCCTATCTAGTGCAAGAGATTTCATCAATATGCGTATTGAGGACTTTTGGGACACTCCAGGCACAGGATGGTTCTGTCGAGAGAGACAGTCATTTGCACCTCAATGACACGTCTTTACAATTTGCTTCACAGGACATATGCTTTCAACCACATACTGTTTATGTACTAATGTGTTCTAATATGTAATTATGTCATGTTTGGTCTCATCTGACAGCTTATACACTGAAATGAATGGTGGTGAACTTAACAGAGATATTAATGTATCCTACAATCTATTGGTTAAACATGCATTGAGGAGAATGTTAATGTTCTTCTCCCCCTCTTGGTCACCACCCATTTGCCTCATATTTTGGTTTTCTGTAGGTCGGTTTTGGTGTTGGTATTCCACTCATGTTTAACAATTGCTCAGGGTATAAGAAGGAAAGGTAACTGTTGATCTTGGAGAAAGCCTTTAACCCTGCCACTCCTGCACACCGGTGCGTAACCTCATACTCTGAGATAACTTTTGTTATCTTAACGTTCAGGTTAAATCCTACGTTTTCCTATCAGTTCTAAGAAAGACCTTTACCTTTAAAGAATAACAACAACTTTAATGGAGTCAGAGTAATTATATTGGAGTCAGATTTGAATTATACACGTCATCCTTCAACTGTCTTTTGTTCTGATTATTGGTTCAAAATAGCAGTGTATCTTCCAGCCTTACAAGGGTAACTTTTATATTACATCAGAAGAACACATCACATGCTTAACAATACAATAGAAATGACAAAAAAAGAACAGGGTACATATCTATATATTGTTGAATAAGCATAAATGTATACCTTTTATATGAAAATGTTAAATGAAGAGCATATTGCAGTTGTTTTAATTGCTTTGTTATTTTTTGATTTTGACATCACATCTATGCACATTTTAATCTCCTTAAGCACTGTAAAAATGTTGGTCTGACATTTCTGAATTTACATTTGTGAATATGAAATTTACATAAAAAATAAAATATGTATAATGAAACTAGCATCCATTGAGCAATGGTCCTTAATGCAATAACCTAATATCACATATTTACAGGATAAGAGAAAAGTATTTAAAATATTATCAGCAATGAATCTCTCAACATCTTTCCAGAAACACTGTGTATCTTGGCAGGACTAAAACATATGATAAATAGTTTCAGTAGAACTTTCACAGAAAGAACATTGTGTTTGTTGTAAAAATGGCTTGGTAAGATAGACTCTATGAATTATTTTGTATGAGATTTCCTTAACCTTATTTGTAAGGAGGAAGTTATGGGGCAACGACCAAACTTGTGTCCAATTTACATTATTAAAGAGATTGTTCCAATAGATAATAACAGGAGTAGTAATTGTATAATTGTAAAATTTTAACATGGAAAAGCAAATCAAACCAACTGGGATATTTTCAGGTCTAGGAGGGCAGACCATCCCAGCAGGTATCCTTTTTAACTACACTGAATTTGTTTAATGTAATAGGTATTTTGAGATAAAGTCAGTCTGCAAACTCAAATAAAGTTACTTCATTATTAAATAACTGACCTAACCCATTGCTAAACCAATTGTAAAAAATTTTTTTTTTAATTCCTGTACAAAATATTGCCGTTATTCTAGATACATTTTTTGGGGAGAAAAGTTGTGCTAGTAAATGAGACTCCAAGCAGCAAGTGCTCGTTGATAGAATTTAGAGTTTAATTGGAAGTTTTTTTAATTGCACATTAAAAGAAATTCTACGCCACCCAGATGAGAGAAAATATATCGAGGGATTATATTCCAAACAGACCATGGGTTTTGAAAATATCATCTAAGCCAGTTTATTTTATTAAAAGTAGGCTATAGAGCTAAAGTCGATAAAATTTAGACCACTTTTATCATTTAAATGTAATATTACTGATTTCTTAATGTAGTGAACTTTGTTTTTCCATACAAATGTACCTAACATACTGTCAATTAACTTACATGTGTGTTTGTCAACATAAAGTGACTGAGCAGTATACGATAAGCGGGAAATATGCCTTCTGCTTTAGTGAGGAGAACTCTGCCCTTGAGTGACAGATCTCTCAGCAACCAATGATTTAGTACCTTGAGTGTCTTTTCAATAATTGGGATAAAATTGGAGGTGCACCTAGTCTTGTTTTCTTTAATTATTTTTAACTCCCAAATATGTGATGTTTTCTCTTACATGGATGTTACAAATTGAGGACTCCAAGCAGTTGCCAACCGGAAGCAGCTCACATTTATTAATATTAAGATGAAGACCTGAGGCTTTGGAAAAGAGTTTCTAATGCTATAGCTACTTGAGAGACATACTTCAAAAACAAGGCGGTGTCGTCAGCTAACTGACTTATTACCAGTTCAGTGTCATTAATGGTGATCCCTTTTAAAGGGCTTTCTCTAATATGTAGGCCTACATTTAAAAGCTGTGTAGCTATCAGGAACAAATATGGAGATGTTGGGCATCCCTGCCTGACTCCGCGATTCAGAGCAAATCTAGGAGAGGTGCCACTGCTGAATTTAAGCTATTTCCATTAGTGTAAAGCATTTTGATAGATCTACAAAAAGACTCACCAAATCCCATGTGAAGGGTTTGAAATAAAAACTCATGTTCTAAGGAAGCGAAAGCTTTATAATAGTCCAAGAAGAGAATAAAATAATCATTAGAGATAAAGTCAGAATAATCTAAAATATCCTAAACCAAACGTATATTATTAAAGATGTGCCTTTTTTGTAAGAAACCAGATTGACATTCATCAATCGGACTGTTCAAAACACATTTCAGTCTTTTTGATAAAACCAAAGAAATGATTTTATAGCCTAGTCATTATTTAGCAACGTAATTGGTCGGTTTTGAAATAAGGGTGATAAATCCTTGACACAGGGTTGGAGGAAGCAAAGGTTTTTTAAGGCTCTCCGTAAAAACTTCAAACAAAAAAGGAGAGCTGGTCTTTCTAAATGCTTTATAAAATTCAGCAGTTAAAATGTCCGTTCCTGGAGACTTATTATTTTTCAAATCATTTATGGCATCAATCATTTCGTGTCTAAGAGGGGCATAGAATCCTCGATAATCCTCGAAAAACTCAGTAGTAGATTGTTGACAAAAATTAGAGGTGTATAAATTACTATAAAACTCAGAACAAAAGTTAGCAATGATTTTTGGGTCCTCTGCAATATCACCATTAACATTCAATTGCTCGATATAATTATTTTTGGCTTGCTGTCTCTCAAGTCTAAAAAAAAAAAATAGGCAGAGCTCTTTTCTCTTCAAGACATTTTCTTCGAGATCTTAGCCTTTCTTCTGTAAAATTCCTCAAATTTAAGTTTCTGCTCAGTAATTTCTGTTTTGTCCAAATCAGACATTTCCTCTACTTTTTAGATTATACGATGGAAATTTTTTCCCATTTTATCCTCATCAATCACCCTATTTGTTTTGCTTCCTAAAAAAAAAAAAACTAATTTCAAATTTAAGAAGCTCCCACTTTACTGTATTTTTTTTATTATAATTTTTAGCTTCATTCCAATAAGATGAGATTATTTTTTTCTATGCTTGTGATTATCTCATCATGTTGAAGTACTGAATTATTCAGTTTCCAGTATGCTGGTTTTCTTCTTTGTCGCCATCTCTGTTCGAAATCTGCAATTGCAGTTATTCGCGGAACTTAACGTTGTACTTCGACACGACACAGCGCGGATGAACACGTTGAGGAGACTGTGCAGCTGTCAATCACTGACCAACATAAGAATTTTCACCGGAAAAATGACATCTGAACAAGTAAGTAACATCCACTTTTGTTCTGGTTCTGACATTGCAGTAAATCGCGGTGATTAAAGCTAACAATCTCTTATCATATCACGCAAAACCGTGCAAATTTACTTTGTTCTCAAATTGTTAATGTTAACAACATCAGCATTGCGTGACTACATGTAATGTCCTTCCGATATGTATCCTTGTTTTCGCATGGGTCCGGTTGCAGTCTCTCTTTTTCTGTACGTAGCCACTCCGAAGTCCGAACGAAGTCTTTTGCATTTTACAGCGGGTGAATCTGTTGTCACTGGTGATTGTCGTTTGAACCTTTCTGGGTCCGCCATCAAATTGATAAGTTTAATTATATCAAGTGCTGTGAGAAAAGGCTATAAATCTCCACCTCCAGCATCCTCACTCGCAATATAGCCTACTAGCCGAGACTCCTTCTTTATGTGTACAGTGACATAATGACGCAAAGACATGCTGGAATCTCCCGCGGAAATCCACCAGTACCACTGGAATTAAAAACATTATTACAAGCTTACAGTTTTGAATCGAGCTAAGGCAAGCAGATAGTTTTGAACTCTGGCTGGTTATGCATTTTCTCAAATATGTATTTTGGATATTTTTTTAACCCCAAAAAAGCTACGGACTGCAGCTTTAAAGGTACAATATGTACACGAATTTTGTAATAAAATATCCAAAAATCACTTGCACAGTGTGATATATTTCCTGCAGTTGTGTACAATATCCCAAAAGTCTCCAAAGATCTTTTATTTCAGAGAAATTCCATTTTTAAATAAGTGGACGTCCCGGAATATCCGCAGTATCCTCGGTTTCCGTACCATGGCAACAGACGTGGACAACCGTCTATGTGGACAACTGCGTAGTGCG